CCAACATAGTCTCACGGCATTTCGTGTTATAGTCACGAAATTAATCTATTGATTCGTGTTTACCAACACGATTTCGCCATTTTTTTCGTGTCACAGAACGATTTTAAAAGCAATGTAAATAATAACAAATTAGAAGGAAAAAGACATTTAAAAAATACAGATTTAAGTATTCTGATACAGAACGATTTTAGAAGCAATGTATTTATATTGGTAGTATGTTTCGTGCCTGCACCAAATAATAACAAATTAGAAGGAAAAAAAGATGACATAAAATACAGATTTCAGTATTCTGAGGCTCTGAGCCCCATTTCTTTTCCTCACTGACGGCAAAAAAACTCAGACATTATACAATTTAAAATAAAAGGGATAGGGTTAGGCTTAGGGTAAGATATTGAGTAAGAACATGTTTTTATGAACCACACAGCTTCTGGTCTTCCAAGACCCGACCGGACAAAAAGACGTGTTGCAGGCACGAAACATACTACCAATAGAAATACATTGCATTTAAAATCGTTCTGTGTGACACGAAAAAAAGGTGAAAATCGTGTTGGTGAACAGGAATCAATAGATTAAATTAATTTCGTGACTAATAACACGAAATGCCGTGAGACTGGGTTGGACATTCTCCTGCTATGAGATACATATATGTAAGGCCATCTGCTGATATTAGAGTTGATATATGGAAACGCTAGCAACTTAGTTAGCACAGTTAGCACTGTGTCAATGGCTTAGCAGTCCGACACACGTTTACACATTTAAACAGTCGTGGTAGATACCTTGTTTGGGAGATATTCCTAACGAAATGAAGTGCCAATCACAAAATATTATTGAAACTTAGTCGTTTTATGTTCGTCAGCTTGCCAGCTGGATTACAATGCTAACCTACGTTTTGCTAGTTGTTCAGTGTAATATGCTATAGGCTACTATACTATACTATACTATGAACAACAGATAGCTCGGTAGCATACACGCTAGGAACGCCAGCTATAATGTAATTACGTTTCCCGACTGACTGTACGGTAAATCACCCGGAGTATACTGTCTATGAGTATTTCGTGTGTGAATGCAGACATTCTCCTGCTATGAGATGAGAAGGCCATCTGCTGATATTAGAGTTGATATATGGAAACGCTAGCAACTTAGTTAGCACAGTTAGCACTGTGTCAATGGCTTAGCAGTCCGACACACGTTTACACATTTAAACAGTCGTGGTAGATACCTTGTTTGATAAATACACAAATAACAATGCAAACTTACAGGTTGTTTACCCGAATCTTCCCCTGCTCCAAACGGTCCAAACAAACTAGGAATAGCATCGTCCTTCAGTTTCAAATGCTGTGCATATCCGGCCTCAAACTGGGTAATGTTTTGGAAGCTTTCGTCTGTGAAATGCCGCGCACACAGTAACATTCTTCGAACCTCTGAAGGAACAGTGTTAAACAGAAATTTCAACCACTGACTTCGTCGTGGTTCTTCCGTCGGTAGGACAAACAGCTCAGATTTCTCCTCACATTTCAGGAAACAGGTCCTTGGCATTGGCATGACTGGATCGATTGTGAACTGAACCAGAGCTTCCAACAGTAAATGTTAGGCTGGCAGAGGGTGCGGCCAGCGCCGCTGGGTGTGACCATAGCTCTTCCGGATTGGTCCATTTTGTTCCGGGTACCGCATGACATCATGCCGTACCCGGAAGAATCAAATGGACAGTGACGTATCTCCAACGAGGCGTTTTGGGGAGGTATTTTCTGTGTTAGAGTTTTACTCGCTACAGGGTGTACTTTGAGGGTTTTGACTCTGCACACCGTTTACATGCATAAAAACCTTCATAACACACAAGGGGACGGGTAATAACCGGAAAAGCATGACACCTCTCCTTTAATGTTTGAGGTGCAATAAACGACACAGCAGCTTTTTGGCATGTTAAAACTATTATTTTCTGCCTCGCTCATGAGAGTAACAGCTGGCGAAATTACAGCCTCGTCTACTGATTTTAATTTAACCATATATCGAGCCCGATTCTCGATTTCAAATGTGTGCTCTAAAATGATATTTATAAATGACTATTATCATTATTATAAGCAAGACAATAAATGGCAAAGATATGTAGAAAATAAACGTATTTAAGATACGTTCATAACAAACGTAACGTGGGAGAAAACATGTTTCTAGAAGATATGTAGAAAATAAACGTATTTGAGATACGTTCATAACAAACGTAACGTGGGAGAAAATACGTTTCTAGCTAAACGTAATTGAGAATGCAGTTTAGTTCTGTGGGAACGTAATGTTTAGGAGACAGGGTTGGTCTGCAATGTTCAAAACAACAGATAAAGCCAGAAATCTATGTGTAGTCATGGACTCTGACCTGAGTTTCAACAGTCACATTAAAACAATTAATAAATCAGCCTACTATCACCTAAAGAACATATCTAGGATTAAAAGACTAATGTCACAGCAGGATTTGGAAAAACTTGTCCATGCTTTTATCTTCAGTAGACTGGACTACTGTAATGGTGTCTTTACAGGTCTCACTAAAAAATCTATTAGAAAGCTGCAGCTGATTCAGAACGCTGCTGCTCGAGTCCTCACTGACACTAAGAAAGTGGATCACATCACTCCTGTTCTGAAGTCTTTACACTGGTTCCTCACTGACACTAAGAAAGTGGATCACATCACTCCTGTTCTGAAGTCTTTACACTGGTTCCTCACTGACACTAAGAAAGTGGATCACATCACTCCTGTTCTGAAGTCTTTACACTGGCTTCCTCACTAACACTAAGAAAGTGGATCACATCACTCCTGTTCTGAAGTCTTTACACTGGCTTCCTCACTGACACTAAGAAAGTGGATCACATCACTCCTGTTCTGAAGTCTTTACACTGGCTTCCTCACTGACACTAAGAAAGTGGATCACATCACTCCTGTTCTGAAGTCTTTACACTGGCTTCCTGTGTGTCAAAGAATATATTTCAAAATACTGCTGCTGGTTTATAAAGCTTTGAATGGTTTAGGCCCAAAATACATTTCTGATCTACTGCTAAATTATGAACCATCCAGAACTCTCAGGTCTTCAGGGACTGGTCAGCTTTCTGTCCCCAGAGTCAGAACTAAACATGGAGAAGCAGCGTTCAGTTATTATGCTCCAAATATCTGGAACAAACTCCCAGAAACCTGCAGGTCCGCTGCAACTTCTGGGAGAAGATACAGGAGCTTCAAGTCACGGACAAACAGACTCAAAAACAGTTTCTACCCCTGGGCCGTCAGGCTGCTTAACCACCATAATGCAATAACCATAACCATTCTCACACATGCACACACTTTTAATGCACTTTATATACTATTTTTATATCAATATATTTAACTATTTATTCCCCTGTATGATTGTTTATGTTGTCTGTCCTATTGCCGTGTTTTTTAGTGTTCTGTGTGTTTGTATTTTTTGCACACCGGGACAGAGTTGCACTCTGAATCTCGTTATACTCTGTGTACAATGACAATAAAAGGCTTTAACTTAACTTTAACTTTAACTTAACTTAACTTAACTTAACTCTTACTACTTTTAAATCCAGGCTGAAGACTTATCTTTTTGCCGCTGCTTTTAATTGAAACTGAGCGGTTGTGTTTCGTTTTTGGTTAATGAACATTTGGGGCTAGTAACCCCAGGGAATCAGTGTCTGGGGACTTTGTCCTGGCTGGTTTTCTCTTTGTATGCTGACACAGCTCATGTTCGGAGAAACCTTAAAGAAAGGCATCAGTAAAGTGGAGCTTCTGTGTGAACTATTCATATCTTAAACTGCACTGTAACTTTTTATTCATGTATTTATTATTAATGTATTTTTTCTTTTAATGTTTCTTTTATTATCTTTTCTTTTTAATGACTGTTTTTAAATGCCTTTGTCTGAATGTCTTTCACTTTTGTAAAGCACCTTGAATTGCCTTGTGTTGAAAGGTGCTATATACAGGGGTGCACATAACTTTCTTAGTGAGTTACTCAAATGAGTACCAGGAGACAATGTTTGGTACGCAAGGTTATGTGTTCAGCCCCTCTGTTTCGCGAACGTCGGCTGGGGGGGGTGTGGCTGGGGGTGTGGTATTGAACGTCGACGGGAGGAGTGACGGGAGGGGTGGAGGTGGGCGCTAGTGGAGCACTCGCGTGGAACTCGCGCCAGAAGTTGTGGCACAATTCCGTTGTACACACCGACGTTAACAGCAGCCCCGTCTGTGCGCACGGCGACTGACTCTATCGTCCAGTGATCGAAGCGCCTTCTGGAAATGCTTCTCAAATCCGCCGGTACGCAAATGCGCTTAGTGAGACAAGTGACGGTACGCATTTCAGATGTTTGCCGCGCATGCGTACCTGCGTACCAGTTATGTGCACCCCTGGCTATATAAATAAACTTGCCTTGCCTTGCCTTTCAAATTTGAAGGAGGGTGAGCAAGCATCTTGAGGAACATTCATCATTAACTCCTCCAAAAAATATAGTTTATTCAATAATAAATGAATATGTGAATCATAACAGTGATTGACAGCTGATAGGAATAATATGATTGTCAATATTATCATATTCATTCAGACAAACATCGATGAGACAGTTAATTAGTGTACTTATTGCAGCAGTCTTCATAGATTTGGTACCCCTGCTGGTCTAAAACAAACTCATTCAGTTATTGTTCAGTTAAAATGCATTAGATTATGTCTGCCACCTTATATATTTATATGTAAGGCTTTACTGATGTGCCACAATAATGTCACCTAATGTTATTGAGTTAAAATATTAATATTGTGGCTTTCCAAGTTAACATTGATTGATATGACTGCGATTAAATCAGCATCTGCCAGGGGATGCCACCCCTCAAAATCTCCTGCCACCCCATGAATATTTTTCTAGATCCGCCCCTGGATAGACGTTAGGGATAGACGTTAGGAGCTGATTTTTGGACTATTCGACCGCAACCCAGGGATAACCCGGAAGAGAAGTGAGCAGTGACCTCTCCGCTGTGACGTCACGCCTGTAACGCTGGAGAGCAAAATGTCTGAACAGAGGTGTGATTGTTCCTCTCTGCCTTCGACACCACTGAACCCCTGGCTCTCTTCAAGTTAACGGCGAGAGTAAAGGGAAGCTGTCCAACTAACGGAATGTCGCGACAAACAGAGGGAACAGCGAGTTATTCGGTACATGTTCGTCAGTGACACGTCGGACGATGATAAACGGCCAGCCAACTCGTCCAGAATAGCCCGTTTGTTCTTTGACAGTTATCCGCCTCTCAGCTGTTTGCTACCGGTACATGTCGGTATTTATCCGCCAGGTGAAGTGGCCGGTGACCTGCTGTATGACAGCCACGTCAGCTAGTTTAACGCTTTATCTCTAGTCTGTTGTTTAGCCAGGCCCGTGCCCCCGGCTTTGTTTTTTAATTTATTTTGTTCAAATAGAACTTGTAGGGTATTTTACTCGGACAATGTCTCCGATGGGAATCCGGCTGTCACCCCTGGGTTTGGGGCTGTTCTGCCTACTGGGAGTCGGGGTCATCTACCACCTGTATGCCGGGGTCATCTCCAACCACATCGCTGCTTTCAGGTGAGACTCGTCCCATGTCCAGTGGTGGTAGGAGTACTCAGATCCTTTACTTAAGTAAAAGTACAAATATTATGGTCTTAAAATACTCCATAACAAGAAAAAATCCGGATATCCAAATGTTGTATTTGTTTTTATTTATTTAAGAATGGATAATGCAAATAATTAACATGAGCACTAAAGTCCATCATGTAAATGTGTGATTTAGCCAGAGAGGCTAGTTTTCATCAGTCCCTGGTTGTTAATTAAGTAAAAGTACAAAAGTATTGGCGTCAAATATAGTACTCATTCTGCACAATGTCCCATTTCAGCATAATATTATAAAGTATAGAAGACGTATTGTCAGCTTAATGCACCCAAGTATCAAAGGTAACATAATGGATCTTTCACAGTATTATATGTTTATGGTTATTAAATATAATCCTGTGTTTACACACGTAACAGCATTTAAGTGTTGTACTTGGTCAATGTGGTCCAGTTTAGATACTAGAAACAGTGTGTAGATTATCAGTACAGTACTGCATTAAACCACATCAGCATATCATGTGTTTCTGTATGTACAATGTAATGTATATGTAATGGTGAGTGTTAAATAAATGTAGTGCAGTCAAAACTACAATATTTGCCTCTGACATGTACTGTAGTAGAGTACAAGTATAAAATAATATCAAATGAAAATACCCAGGTAAAGTAAAAATATGTCAAAATGATACGCAAGTACAATACTTGCAGCAGCCACTGTCTAAGTGTTTATGAACGGGGAGAATATCGATAAGTGTGTTGCTCGACTATTGATCAGTGTGCCGTGTCTTGTATGAGCTGTTACTACATGTGAGTGTTCTGATAAGAAGCTGCTTACTAGGTCGTGAACATTATTACGTTTTAGGACAGGCGGACATGTGTCTGATGTATTGATTACTGAAGCCTGAAAGTAGACTTTAAAGAATAGTAGAGCTATCTATCAACAGGAATATAATGGGCTACTATTTTGATGATCGATTAATAGTTCATGTTGGATACAAAAATGTGAGAAAGTGTTGTTTTCAGCCAAGCAAATTTGGAGATTTTCTTGCTCCTCTTTGTTTCTAGCATACATCACTAAACTAAAACTAAAACACAACTCCACCTGCTTTCCCAGAATGATGGAATAAATTAGCTCCATAAAATGCTTCAATATAAAAGAAAATAGATATTAGATATATAAGTGAATATCTATATCTGGACCGACAAAACAAGACATTTACAGATATGATCTCAGACCAGTGTTTCCCCTATATACATTCAGCAGCATCTATTTAATATAGTTGTAAAAAATAAAGTAATAAATCATTCCAATGTGTACTATAGGACAGTAAAAAAAACTGTTTAAAAGGGGAGTGATTAGTAAGATATGCATAAATAAAAAGAAAGAATGCTAACTAGGTAACATAAGATAAGAATAAACAAGTTTAAATGATTTGTTATTGGTTGTGATCATATTCTAAAGATGTTTGGATTATTGAAAAGTATACAGCTCCCTTTCATCTGAGTGTTGAGAGCTGTATCCATACATTCATGTTGTGCTCAAAGTGCTCCAGATAGATGCATTTCACTTCAACATTTAAAAAAAAAATCGTCCCGGGGGGGATGTGAGGTCCACCCCCAAATAAAGCAGGTTAAAATAATTAAATTGCATACATTTTATTTTTGATTGTTTGTTATGTGGATGTGTAGTATGTGTATGAGCCTTAAATGTGCTGGCAGACACATACTGTAGAAACATATTGGCGGGGCGCACTTCGCACGCGCACACACTAAATAATTCCACGCGCTCCGTGCGCACATTTTGCTGGGCCCGCGTGCCTTAGCACCGCTGCTATGACTCCATCCTAGGGGAAACACTGCAGACCTGTAGTACCTTTACTATTTGATGATCCTTTATAGGCTAAACAAGAAATCTACAACATAATGAACAGGTTCATGAAAACAATAGTTAGTTGCAGGACTTCTGCAAGGTTCATTTTTAATCAGATCACCCCTTCTGCTGAGCTGAACGCAGCACCATTATACTGTATGTCTTTCAGTAGTTTAAGGGCGAACACTTTGTCATTGTCTGACATGGCAATGTTTGTTTTTATAAGCTAGTGAATTAGCACAAAATATAGGCTTCATTTGAAAAGACCAGGTACAATGTCACACAACTCATTCACCTTCCATGAGCTTAAATGGATGACAACATTTAATCAGGTTGTGTGTGAAGAAAGGTGAAAGTTCCGTTAGTGCTGTTCTAACATCACATGTTCTGTGTCTGCAGGCAGCGGAGGACGGTGGACCTGAGGGACTTGCTGGCTGTCTCAGTGGAGGCTGCGCTGCTCGGTGGCACAGAGGTAAAAACACTTTACTTTCACAGCTCAATAAACAGAAGTTAAGTTGTTTCCATAGAATAAATATTTAACCGAGAACCATTAAGTTATTAAGTTATTCAGAATGAGAAGCTCGCTGAGCCTGTTTCATTTGTTTGATCATAGTTTTGACTTTTGATTTTCGGTTAAGTATCTTGCCCAAGGACATCTTGACATGTTGACTACAAAAAATATTAGGTTCAACTTAATATTATTGGACTATCTACTTCCTTCATAGGGCAGATTTAGAATACCTTTATTTGTCCCACAGAGGGGACATTTATATCGTTACAGCAAAAGTATAGATAGAGACAAAAAATACAACGCTACTAGATAAAGGGCATGCACATCATATTTAAAAGAAAATTACAATTTACAAAGTACACATTTGTGAGAACAAATTATAAACATTTACAAAAGTACACATTCGGTTAGAAAAGTAGCAGCAGCAGTATTTATCAAATAAATGACTAACAGTCAGCTGAATGCAGTGTGGTAGAAGCTAGATAACAGCGCTTCAATTATATATTGCACAGAGTTACTCAAAGATTCTTGTTCCACTGTTAAAATTGTCGAACTAAGAAGGCAGCCAGTAATAATAATAATGTTAACCAGGTACATATTGCATATAAGGGTTATTGCACCACAGTGGCAGCTCCTGACTGATACAGTTTCACATGCAGTCATCTGAACCAATGACTCTACATCCGAGCCTTCATGCCGTACACCGATTTTAATTCAATGTATTATGTCAACAGATTTCACATAACTGTTTTTGGTTAGTTGAAAGCAATACACCTAAGTTTAAATAAAATATTAGCTTCAACTTAATATATTTGCTGTCAACTAACCTGATACAGTTATGTGCCATTTGTTGACCTAATACATTTAATCAAAGTCAATACTTCAGTTTTTTCAGTGTATTAGCATGTGAGTTGTTCTTTTTTTCCTCCACAGGTGAAGAAGGTGCGTGATGAAAATAGCCTGAACGAGAAGTCAAAGGGCAAGACGAAGGAGGGAGCCAATGAGCTTCTGACTACAGGCGACCTGCAGTCTCATAGGAAGATGTTCAACCTTATAAGTAACACCTTCCCCGAAGTCACGGTGAGTGACTTGTTTGCCTTCCAATCATATGTCGATGATGTGCCACTTGTGTGTAATCATCATAAAATAAAAGGCTTTCCACAAATATTCAACAAAGGAAATAGGCCTTTAGAATTGTCATACAAATCAAAATAAAGAGGCAAAAGTCAAATAAAACAAGAAAATGCATTTCCTGCAGAAAATGCGTGTGAATGCTGTAAACTGTGAACATTTGTTGCTGAATTTAGCTGAAAATGCAGAAAAAGCTGAATATGTTATTAGCTGAATGGTAGCTTTTAGCTACAGAAACCAAGTCAGTGTGTTGCTGAACTTAGCGGAGAAATGCAGAAAAGTGAAATGATTTGAATCAAATTGTTACAGCTCAAATGCATTGCAATGACTTTGTTGAAAACTTGAAAGTGAAATGTTAAACTGGAAGAGTAGGAAAAATAGTGAAGGTTTAAAAAAGGTATAAACAACTAAATGTATAGCCTCAATGTCCTGAAATAGCTGAATAAGTTAATAGTTGAATGGTTTATAGCTGAAAGTAGGCTGAAGGAGTTAGATATTAAATGTAAGTAGTAGTGAATGAATGTGTATTAAGAAGAGAAAAGAAAGTAAAAACACTTTGAAAAGCATCAGAATATTTTAACTGCAAACTTTTGAACTGAAACCACACGTCACCAATAATGTATAAAATATGTGGAACATGTTGAAGTCAGTATGAAGTCTCCATCCGACAGAAAAGAATAGGCGGAGACAGTCTGTTAACCAGTTGAGCCCCGAGCCTGTTTATCAGCATTCACACTAATAACAAACAACAACATCTTTCTTTCTTTCTTTACGTTGTATAACATAACTTAAAGGTAGGGTAGGTAAGTTTGAGAAACCGGCTCGAGATACACTTTTTGTTATATTCCATGGAATGCTCTTAACATCCCGATAGCAATGAATATCTTAAGTGCTTTGACAAAAAATCCATAAAGAAAAGTCATCTGTGGAAGCCGTAGTACTGTAAAAAGCACGACCAATCATTTTAGCCGGCCCGGCTAAAATAACTGGATGGCCTACCTGCCTGTCAGCCTTCCATCTGTGCACAAACTTATCTCGTGCCCTCATTGGTCATGTGCGCGTTCGTGTGTGTTGGAGGAGGGGCTCTGTAAGGAAGTGGCAGATTTTCTCCGGCTGTGTATTTTCAAATTCTAGCGATCTCGAGCCGGTTTCTCCAAAATTACCTACCCTACCTTTAATAAGTTGACGGTTAAAAACTGTCTCGACAGAAATTAAGCCTTCCTTGACTACAGAGGTCACGATTAGGTGACAATATTTGGCCTTTTTTTACAAAAACAGAAGACTGGCTCTAACAGACTGCTTTCTCAGTCCTCGAGACCCCTCAAATACACACACACACACACACACACACACACACACACACACACACACACACACACACACACACACACACACACACACACACACACACACACACACACACACACACACACACACACACACACACACACACACACACACACACACACACACACACACACACACACACACACACACACACACACACACACACACACACATCAGCGACGTGCAGTCAGGGGAGGCAGAGCCTCACCTGTCATACTCCAATGTAACGGAAAAACAACTAAAGAAAAACTAAACAGTAATAATAATAAAATGTCTCCACTGATCTGTGTTGTAAGTGTGATTTATGTATGATTCCAATCGCTTTTTATAGTCAAAATCAGCAAATTTGCCGAGCTCGCTACAACTACGGGGAAGTTAGGCAGGGACGTGCTCTGCCTCTCGTAAGCCCACAGTAACTGGCTGGAGCGCGGGCACTAATTTAGCGCGGCCACTTATTTTGTGAGCGCGCTCAAGCCAGTTACTGTGGGGTGACGCATTCTGAGGTGAGGCACAGATGAGCTCTGCCTCACCTCAGAATGCATCACCCCACAGAAACTGGCTGGAAAGCGGGCCCTAAGCGCATGCCTGTTCCCATCTCACTGTATGTCACCAATGTAATGTTTGTAGATCCCTTTATTACATTTATCCTCGCCATCCATAGTCTCTAAATAACTTATTTCACGTATATATGATATTTAGGCCCGCTGGTCTCATCATACAAAGGCAATGAAAATGCACCAGGGGAGGCAGCCATAACCTCTGCCGCACTGAAGGGGGCGCACGTGAGCCCACAGGTTCTTGTTGCTACTGTGATTCTACGCAGAGACGGTAGACGCAAACAACAAACTAGACTTTAGAAACTACAGGAAGATAAGGAGGACTTTTACAAAAAAGTAATAGAGATTGTTGTCCAGAAGGATAGCATGGACTTCATCTTCAAGTCAAGGTAAGACCACAACTGTAATGAAAATGGGATCTTACTAAGAAAGAACAATCCAATATATAGATTTTGGGTATCCTTTTGTTGAACGGTCCGTTTAAAATGAATTGAAGCATCAGACTAAAAAAAGCTTTTGAAAATAACCGAATATTTCGATTAAGGTCAAAATATAATATTTGTAAATCTGACTCTGAAAGAGTCAGTGCCTCACCAGCATGAAACTCACCGCACGTCACTCACACACAGACAGACAGACAGACAGACAGACAGACATTGGCCATCAGCAGCAATTTTGGGTAAAGTATCCAGCCCAAGGACATCTCGACACTACATGAGGGGGGTCAAACCACAGACCTTCTGATTGGAGGAGGACCATCTAATTCCTGAGCCTTAAAGATCTGCACAGGACTCGTGTGTGTTTTCATTTTCAGGTGAACAGTGAGGAACATGACAACACACTGGATAAGGCTGCAGCCTGGAGCCAGAAGATTCCAGCCGACATACTGGAAAAAGTAGAGGGGGGTAGGGACGTTCCTGCGGAGAGCGTCACCGTGTGGATCGATCCTCTGGACGCTACACAGGAATACACAGGTATACATTTAAACTCAAAGACATGAACTCATCTTCATGATCCTTTAAGCAGACATATTGGAAAGCACTTGTTCGTGTTAGGCAGTGATTTTCCACCAGTGTGCGTGAGAAATTCTCCAATTTCACTTAATTGGTACCAAAAAGTTAGTTGCTGCAAATAATGTGTCATTTCTGAGCGTCTGTGCCTGCAATGTAGTGGCTGGCTCAGTAATGTAATACTCTTCCATGCCAGTGGGTGGCAGTAGGTAGCGCATTAATGAACTTGTTAATTTATTACAGTAGAATTAAGTAGGGGTGTAACGGTATCCGTCACGGTTCGGTGCATGCAGTCACACGACGAATACGCCTTTTTTTTACGAGTGGGAAAAAAGTCTGTCATTCAGGGCAGTATCCACTACTAGAGCTAGAACCCACCTGCTTCTTTTAAATCAGCTGTGTGGGAACATTTCGGGTTCCCTTGTGGACTACAATAACGAGTGTGCGAGTGGTGGATCGGACGAGGACGGTGTGCTGGTGTTGTGTCAAATTATTCACCCCCGTCGTGAAATGCACCCCCTGGCCTGCCGTAAAAAGCACCCCCCAAAAAAAGATGCTTCTAGGAATCCCACCCTCAAGCACTTTGGAGGGTATAGTTGTAGGACTAGTACCAATAAATGGAGCAAGTGTCATGTATGTGACACGTTTATTGTCAGAGATAGCAAGGGGTGCATATCGTGGCAACCAGGCTGTTCATAAAAAGCACCCCCCAAAATAAAAGAAATGCTATTAATCCCAGCCTCAAGCATTTGATGTAAAAATAAACAATACATTGTAAAGCACAAGTACAAGCACAAGCATACAGACAGGACGTCACAATTAAATAAAAACATATATTAAATAAAAAATTAACTGAAAAATAAGTGACGAAAGAATGCAAAATCCAGGATTCGACAACCCAACCATCAAAAAGACAACATAGAATAGCGGACTATACGTTCAAATGCTCGTTCCCGTGCCAAGGGGTGCATTTCACGACAGGGGTGCATAATTTGACACAACACCAGCGTTGTTCGACAGCTGTGCGGTATGCTAATGGTAACACAAGCCAAACATGCTAAATCATATCAGAAGGCATCACCCAGATTTGGCAATCACCGTAGCCCGGCAAAAGACAACAGCAGTTCAACAGCTTATCCCCGCTGTTTTTAAGAAGCCAATAGACATTAAAGCCGAGAGACCAAAATAAATAACGGAAGCTTTTGGCATATGTTTTTCAACGGCTATGCTGCGCCCTTATGCAATAGAATAGAGGACCCCGGCTTTTATTGATTGTGATTGAAAGTGATTGAAACACTATCTTATTATTTATTTTGTAATATTTTCAAGACATTCTTTTTAGTTTTACAGTTCATTGAACCTTTTTGTTTGACATCAGCCATTATAGATAAAATGGCCATCTGAGTGTTTGTGGTTTGTTTTTAACTGTAATAAAGTTAATTATTCAAAATGTTAGAGTTCCTTATTTTTAAACTGAAACTTGCACTACTTTTCAAAACAAATAAAAAACAAACCTGGAATTATGCATTTGGGACTTTTTTTTGCTTTTTCTTGTTGTACCGATTCCGAACCCGTACCGAACCGTGACCCCCAAACTGAGGTACATACCGAACCGTGAATTCTGTGAACCGTTACACCCCTAGAATTAAGTGATGCATTGGAGAGATTGCGGTGACAAGACGGACAGCGATGGAAAAATATTTGAAAAGACTCTGAACTGGGACCTGGACAAACTTCTAAAGTTATCCTTGGTTTTGATTTACTTTCACCGGGGATCCGACGGCACCGACTCCGTTATGCTTGGTGTGGGGAAAAGCTATCCCACAGTGCCATGATCCCAACAAGCTTATCATCCCCAAACGAAACACCCGCCACTACAAAACAAGTATATTAGGCAAAAATGTGTCATTTTGTTACTGTTGTTGGTGTGCGCGGCTCCAAAAAAGGTTTTTTTAAAACTCGGGGTCTTGGGTATTTTTGTTTTTCCCCTATGTATGGAAAGTCGTCTGAACATGCCATAGAGCTCTCTACAACAATCATCCTGTTACTGGGGGGGCCAGTAAAGTTTACTTGGTCATCTACTGACAGTAGGTCCTCACTCAGCCTGTTAAATTACAAAATGTTCCCCTGTCTCTGTCCTCTGGCTGTCTACTCTCTATTCCATCTCCCTCCTCTCTATCTGCTGATCTCTCTCTCCATAGAGAATCTGGTGAAGTTTGTGACCACCATGGTGTGTGTGGCTGTAGATGGTAAACCAGTCATTGGGGTCATACACGTGCCATTCACTGGCTTCACTGGTAAGTGTGTTCCTCCACAACTCCACTGGTGTGTATTAAACACTTGTGAAGGAGTAAACCTGGAATGTGCCTCACAAAATAATCTGTATTGAGTTCATTCTCCCTCTCTCTCCCTTTGCCTGCCTGTCCTCTGCCCCTCAGCCTGGGCGTTTGTAGGTCAGGGGTCAAATATGAGAGCCCGGTCCTCCTACAGTGTCAGCACCCCCAAGGCCATTGTCTCCCGTTCCCACTCCGGGAAAGTGAAGAGTTTTGTTCAGGATGCTTTTGGAAACTCCACAACAATCATAGAAGCAGGAGGCGCTGGTGAGTTTGTACAGGATTATTTTACATTTACAGGTGCATCTCAAACAATTAGAATATTACATAAGACCAATACAAAAACTGATTTTTACTACAGAAATGTCGGCCTTCTGCAAAAAGTGTTTTCATTGGTCTTATGTTATTCAAATTTTTACAGATACTGAATTTTGAGTTTTCATTAGGTGTAAGCCGTAATAATCAAGATGAAGGCAAGGCAAGTTTATTTATATAGCACCTTTCAATACAAGGCAATTCAAAGTGCTTTACAAAAATGAAAGACATGAAGAGCATTAAGAAACATATTATAAAATGATATCTAGAAACACTCATTTAAAAGCAATGATATAAAATGACATTTAAAAACACTCATTTAAAAGCAAAGATAAAAAGCAAAGATAATACAAGTTACAATGCAGTTTAAGATATGAATATATCAATTAAAACAGGGCTTGACATTATAAATGGCCCGCTGGCCCGGAAGCACTATTTAGACACCCCGGGCCAGCATAACGTACTTTCCACTTGCCCGCTCGGGCCACTAAAAATATTGCTTTAAAAAATAAATGGTCCTGTGGTATAGGTATTTTGACTAGCAATTTTGTTAAATTGTTTCTTTTATTAACGCTACAACATAGCGTTTCGTGAGGCGGTTGTCGTTGTTGGGTGAAAAGCAAACAGCTGTGAGCGGGAGCCTGCTCGTTCACTACAGACTTTCGCACCACCTAACCATTCGCCAAAATGTTTTTAATACCAGCGATAACCGGCCAAGCGCCGGGCAAAAAACTATCTTCAAATAAAAGAAAGTCACCGGAGGAGTTAACCTGTTAAGCCCGAGAGACCCCGGTACCGGGGCACTGCCGCAACATCTTGCAGGAAACAGTGTCTGAGGGCATGTTCATTTAATAAACTATGAATGTTTTATATCCATGTAACGGGAAGAAACTCATCTAACTGATCAAAAGAAAACCCACAATGCTAACACTGAGCCTCTGAATTAGCAACGAGCGAAAAATGCTAACAGATTACTGCACCAAAAATCACTCACAAAACCTTATTATTTATCTTTTCTCCACATCCATGACATCGATTCACATCGTGAGGTGACACAGAATCGATGGGTACCCTCATTATCACTGAATTATACGGATTTGCGACGTTATAAACAAAAACAGACATCAAAACAGGTGACGCTAGGTAGCTAAAAATGCTAACAAGGTTACCTTGGCTCTGTAGTCTCTCCAAAGTGGTCTTCAATGGCATTAAAACGATAAAAACGCTGCTGAAGTTAATCCATAGGTTAATCCAATGTGTCTGTGTCCCTTTGAAATGATTTCTGATAATCCATGATCAATAAAACGGATAATCCATGCTATTCCGTTTCTAGATGTCAGAGCTAGAATGTAGCTTCACTCTAATGCAAAATTACATGCGCAAAGCCCCCACCTTTTTATTTCACAATGAGTGTGTGTGGGGGACTCCCCCTTCGATTCTATTGGCTCTAACGGTGAGAAAGAGGTGTCAACCATCAAAATCGACCAATGGGTTCCAGAGATATGAAAAAAAAAAACATTTACACCCAAATCACCTCAGAGGTGGAGTGTTTTTGGCTAAACCTCTCTAAAAAGGTCAAATGTCACTTGTTTTGCATCAATCTTGATACAGGGTACTTATTATATGTTGTACTTTGGATTCCTAAAGCTTTTAGTCTACCTTACCATCATCCAAGGGTAGTTTTTAACTATAAGTAAAAAAGAATTTTTGGACCGACACTATAATTTACAGTTTTTTACTATGTAAAATCTGAATTTTCTTTAAAATAAAAAACATCTATATTGATTCTGACTTTTCTACATCCAACTCACAGGTTTATCATTACTTTGAGAGAAAAAAAGGTTATTAATTTAACCCTTTTAGAAGGGAAGATATGGTCATTTGTTCTGGGAATGTCATTTTTGAGCCTGAGACCTGAAAAACAGGCTCAGGGCTTAACAGGTTAAAGGAGAGTGACAGGGAGTATGAGAAGAAGAGGGAGAGGAAGTTTCAGCCACACTGGCTTGATCGATGGAGTTGGCTTCTATAGAGTGGTGCAGTGACGCGTCCTAAAACCCTTTTATAATTTTCGAATCATAAATCTAGATTTATCATTCGAAAATTATAAAAGTAGGGTAGACATGTGGAGATTATCCGGCTGAACAAAATGTGCATTTATCAAACAGGTTCGTTTTCAACAGACCTTATTTCGAGCTATTTTCCAAAACCCTATGGAGAAATCCCATTGCTTTTTTGTCGAGGGAACCAGAGCGCAGCTTACTTCCTGGTTTTAGGACGTGTCACTGCACCTCTCTATATGATGCCAATATAAACAAGGTCTTTAGTCGGCTCTGTACATCAATGCCGACCTATGCTGACAAGTAAGTGAAGAGTAGAAAATATAAAGGTATATTCGCTATTGGGAAATGTCCCAGCAGTTTAGGATAATGAAGGTTCTAATCTAATCTATTACATAGCCATTACATTTCTAACTCCTGATGACAGGAAGGCAGAAAGTGCATTATACTAATAATAATACTCATAATAATGATAATAGCAGACCACAATATAATTATTTTAATAAACCAAATATGAACAATTGAGGAAAATGAGGAAGAACTGATGATTCAAATGTTGTAGTACAAGTAGTAATGTAGTTTGTGCATAAATTACTATTGCAACAAATGTGTTCATTTTCTTCATTATTAGTCGATTTTTTTGGACGAATGCTCTTGGGTTAGTGGTTACAATGGTGGGGCCAGTGATAATACAATTCCACCGACCCTTAATGTCTACCCCTGTAAAAGCAGCGGCAAAAAGAAAAGTCTTCAGCCTGGATTTAAAAGTAGTAAGAGTTGCAGCGGACCTGCAGGTTTCTGGGAGTTTGTTCCAGATATTTGGAGCATAATAACTGAATGCTGCTTTACCATGTTTAGTTCTGACTCTGGGGACAGAAAGCTGACCAGTCCCTGAAGACCTGAGAGTTCTGGATGGTTCATCATTTAGCAGTAGGTCAGAAATGTATTTTGGGCCTAAACCATTCAAAGCTTTATAAACCAGCAGCAGTATTTTGAAATCTATTCTTTGACACACAGGAAGCCAGTGTAAAGACTTCAGAACAGGTGTGATGTGATCCACTTTCTTAGTGTCAGTGAGGAAGCCAGTGTAAAGACTTCAGAACAGGAGTGATGTGATCCACTTTCTTAGTGTCAGTGAGGAAGCCAGTGTAAAGACTTCAGAACAGGAGTGATGTGATCCACTTTCTTAGTGTCAGTGAGGAAGCCAGTGTAAAGACTTCAGAACAGGAGTGATGTGATCCACTTTCTTAGTGTCAGTGAGGAACCAGTGTAAAGACTTCAGAACAGGAGTGATGTGATCCACTTTCTTAGTGTCAGTGAGGAACCAGTGTAAAGACTTCAGAACAGGTGTGATGTGATCCACTTTCTTAGTGTCAGTGAGGAACCAGTGTAAAGACTTCAGAACAGGAGTGATGTGATCCACTTTCTTAGTGTCAGTGAGGAAGCCAGTGTAAAGACTTCAGAACAGGAGTGATGTGATCCACTTTCTCAGGCCCCGGCTCCACGAGGACGAAAACGGGTTGAATCCGCATATTTCTCATGCGTATAGCCCTCTAAGCTCGACGACGCCGTAAGGGAAACGTAGAAACAGACCCCGCAAACGACAACGGGTCCAAAGGTGGATAGATCTGGGAATGGAGCGCTCTGGGGGGGTCCAACGGGGCCGTGGGGTCGCCTATACGGTCATCCGTTTCATAGCCCCGCCTCTCCCCACCTCTTCCCACCTCTCCGCGTACCCCGCATCATTGCTGATGTGTTTCGTTAACAACAACAATAGCTATTTTAATTACCTCTCAAACTACCTAAACTAGTTATAAATATGTTTATTTTTACTGTCGAGTCATCATTACTGGATCAGCTGCTGCATGAGACAGACACTGACGCTGTCAGAAGAGAGGAAAAAGAGATAGGCTCTGTGTATTTTATTTTCATATATCATTATATCGTCGTTATTCATTTGTTTTAAAGCTCAATAAATAACAAAGAAGACCTTTGACCGGCACTTTTATAATTTTGTCCGGAAGATTCACACGTTGACTGGCAAAAAACTCTGCCCGGATCCCTTGGCCCCCACCGCGGAGAATAAACAGAAGTGCAGCCATGACAACCATTCTTCTTCGCTGCTTTTGTGGAGGAAGTTACAGCTTTTGGTGGAGGAAGTTACAGCGCCACGTACAGGTTCGGCATATGTACTGCAGCTTTTCCAGCGTTTGGATGTAAACGGAGCCGTCTCGTGGAGCTTGACACAATCCGGTGTATATTGCGTGGGGACGGAAGGTTTTTTGCGGTTGCATTTGCGTTACTCCGATGCGTTTTGCCGTTTTCGTCCCCGTGGAGCCGGGGCCTTAGTGTCAGTGAGGAAGCCAGTGTAAAGACTTCAGAACAGGAGTGATGTGATCCACTTTCTTAGTGTCAGTGAGGAAGCCAGTGTAAAGACTTCAGACCAGGAGTGATGTGATCCACTTTCTTAGTGTCAGTGAGGAAGCCAGTGTAAAGACTTCAGAACAGGAGTGATGTGATCCACTTTCTTAGTGTCAGTGAGGAACCAGTGTAAAGACTTCAGAACAGGAGTGATGTGATCCACTTTCTTAGTGTCAGTGAGGAAGCCAGTGTAAAGACTTCAGAACAGGAGTGATGTGATCCACTTTCTTAGTGTCAGTGAGGAACCAGTGTAAAGACTTCAGACCAGGAGTGATATGATCCACTTTCTTAGTGTCAGTGAGGAAGCCAGTGTAAAGACTTCAGACCAGGAGCGATGTGATCCACTTTCTTAGGCCCCGCTCACACGGGAACGTTTGCGTTTATGCACAGTATGCGTATTCAAAAAAGTCTTCCGTTCACATGCATTCGTTTCATTTAACGTGTCTGTTCAAACGAGACCGCTGGAAACGCTGTAGTACATATGCCGGGACTGTAAGTGGCGCTGTAACTTCCGCCACAAAATACACCAAAAGCAGTGAAGAAGACTCCGCAGCAGCCCCGCAGCAATGTTGCCATGGCTACCCTTCTGTTTACGCCCCGCGGTGTATTTAGCAACATGTAGTTAATGTAATTCTCCATGTCCACTTGTTGCTGATGGTTGTGGTAGAGGAGCTGTATATTTTTGCACTAATATCTGTAGCATGGTCAGTAGCAGTAGCACTAGCAGTAGCTACTGACAGGAGGAGGAGCACGTCTCTGTGGAGAGGACTCGCTCAGAGAGATATTCTCTACAAACACCGGGTGAGATCGCTCCTTTGTCAATATAATGGATCAATGCATGAAATCTGACTCTGTTTATTTTGTTTAAGGAGTATATTGGGCGTTAACAATTCTGGTTTGCCTTTTATAATATTATTTCATTCAAGAACCCCTTGTGCGTTTAATTAACACAGTGAGCAGGAGAGGTGGGGCTATCGTTATTTTTTCAGGAAATATTCGTATAGAGGTGATTACACGGACTCGGTTGAGCCCCCAGAGCGTTTCGTTTGCAAATCTATCCACCTTGGGACCCGTTATCGTTTGTGGGGTCAGTTTCTATCGGCCTCGTGTAAATAATAGGGCTATACGCACGCGAAACTATGCAGATACAAGCAGTTTTCTCCTCGTGTAAACGGCGCCTTAGTGTCAGTGAGGACTCGAGCAGCAGCGTTCTGAATCAGCTGCAGCTTTCTAATAGTGAGACCTGTAAAGACACCATTACAGTAGTCCAGTCTACTGAAGATAAAAGCATGGACAAGTTTTTCCAAATCCTGCTGTGACATTAGTCCTTTAATCCTAGATATGTTCTTTAGGTGATAGTAGGCTGATTTAGTAACTGTTTTAATGTGACTGTTGAAACTCAGGTCAGAGTCCATGACTACACCTAGATTTCTGGCTTTATCTGTTGTTTTGAACATTGCAGACTAGGGGTGGGTACCGAGCCCCGGTATTAAACGGACCCCGGGGCTGAATTATAGATATGGCCCTATAATATATTGTTCAAATATAGCATAATAGGTGAGCTTTAAGACTTTTATAACGTTTTTATCGTTTAAGCTCAACTGTTAAAAACTGTACTGGAGATGTTCAGTTTCACTGGACACATTTTCTCTGCCAAAGAACTAGCATGGGCAATTTAGTCCAATATGTCAAGACACTGTTTCCCTCTCTTCACTTCCTTTATCGCTTTGGTACTCCTATTTTTTATTAACATTTTTTTCTTAACTGTTCAAATAATTGTATCCATTTGTGATCTTTTATGTGCCATACTTCCTCCCCACTTGCTAGCCAAGGGTTGCCAGTTCCATATTATAGCTATCAGTGTACATAGAACAGTGCGAGTATATGTATTGATGCAATGATGCTGCTTTAAAGGATGACTGAAGCATATGTTTGAAAATGAAAAAAAAGTAAACTGGTTCTCATTTTTCATACCTGCTTTGTTCTAAATATCCACACATTTGGAATAACTGACACCAAAATAGACATCACATAGAATACAGTTACCAATAACAGCGCATTAAAAGGACGATGGTGCAAGTGCACATTGTGATTACAACTCAAGATAATGGCACAATGGGATGATATTAATAATAATAACACTAAACCAGGTGACAGTTTAAGATGCTTCAGAGTGCATTGAGGCAGCAGAGGGCAGGAGTTAGCTTCCTCTAACAAACCAGCAGCAGAGGATCGCAGCGTTCTTGACTGAGGGGGAGCATCCCTCGCTCTGTAATGGACAGTAAAGAGATTTATGCAAAATATTATGTGTAGGACTTTATATCATTACATTATTACATGTAATTTGTTAGACGCTTTTATCCAAAGCGACTTACATACATTCAGTACAGTGGGCAATCCCCACAGGAGCAATTTGGGGTGAAGTGTCTTGCCCAGGGACACAACGACATGCTGACTGCAGTGGGACTCGAACTTGGTACCCCCTGATTCGAAGTTCAGCACTCTACCCACTGAGCCACAGCCGCCCCATATCAGCATACGTTAGTGTGATAAATAATCATATTGGACCTTGTCTCTCTCTCCCTCAGGATATAAGGTCCTGTCACTTTTAGAGATGCCTTCAAGTGAAACCATTCCCATGGACCAGGCAGACGTTTACATCCATGTCACCTTTATTAAGAAATGGGACATATGCGCCGGTGCAGCACTACTGAGCGCTCTGGGTAATGTAACAGCTATTATTTTCCAATGTGTGGCTCTCTTTTACTGCTTCAAATTCTCTTCAGATATTCCTGTCGACTAAATTATAAACACCCCTGTTTGTTTGGGAACGCATTGTTAACTGGACTTCATTTGCCATGAGCCAAAGTCTCTCAGATAAAACTGAAGTAAGAAAACTGCTGGCCGGAAATGGTTTGTTCATGTAGGAACTCTCACTTCTAGTAAGGCCATTTATTCTAATATATACTTGTAGTATTTATGTTGGGTGTAAATAATATATCTTGCACCAAGCATTCTCCAAACCTAAACATATTTAAATGCTTAGATATCAGTTGTATTTCTAAAGAGATAACATATTATAGTCTGTTTACAGCTCATAGAGTCCTGTTGTGAACCCAGAAATGTTGAGTACCCCAAAGTGTTATTCTAGAAATGTATAGTAGGGATCCCCAGCACATAGAAACTGCAGGATGCTAACTTGCATATGTTTGGCAATTTGCACAATTATCTTAAGTTGGGTTAATTAGCATTATAGCTCATGCAGACAATAATACAAAAAATGGCTTGGCAGATTTTGACAGTTTTGGAATGGTTTTGGGGGTTATTGAGGATGCTGAATGCATTTCTGGCATTCTCGGGATCCATAATGGCAGTTTTTACCAGAATGTGGCCATATTTGTACTCTCTGTGGGCTGATTTGATTCATTTTTGGTCGGTTTTGCAGTTTTAGGGGACTATCCACAGTAGAGGTAATCATTTTCATCTTCAATCAATCTCAATCTTTATTTATTTATATAGCAAATTTAAAACAACCTTCAGTTGACCAAAGTGCTGTACAGGCAATAAATATTAAATAACACAATGGGAGTACAATAATAAAACAATAATTAAAAACATGATAAAAAGCACAATAACTAGAAAAATATTTAAAAAAAAAAAAAACACATACAAATGTAAAAATGTAATGTTCAACTAGTATTAAAAATCTTGTGCTCCTATACATCAAAAGGTCACAACACATACTCATGCTAGTCAAAATCAGCCCACTGACAGTACAAATATGTCCACTTTCTGGTTGAAACTGCTATTTTAGATCCTGAGACTGTCAGAAATTGATTTAGCATCCTCAATAACCCCCAAAACCAAATCGGACAAGCCATTATTTAACTATTGTCTTTGCTATAATGATATTTAATTCTAATTAACGTACTTTATGCTAAATGTGCAAATTGCCCAACATATGCAAGTTATCATCCAGCAGTTTCTATGTGTTGGGGACGTACTATACATTTCTATCATGAAACTTTGGGGTACTCAACATTTCCCGGTTCACAGTGCTTGCAACTAGACTATAAGGCCCTTTTGTATTGAACTTTTTTAATAGCGTGATGATCTCTGCAAGGCATGTTTATTATGGGTTGTGCATTGTACTGATGACATGTAATCACCATGACTGTAGGAGGCCACATGACCACGCTAAAGGGAGAGGACATCGACTACAGCGGCACAGCGCTCAACAAAGGAGGCCTGGTGGCCAGTGTGGGGGTGGACCATAAGGCCTTAGTGAAGAAACTTCCAGAGTGGGACCCTGAGAAGCACTGAGACACACACACACACACACACACACACACACACACACACACACACACACACACACACACACACACACACAGAGCCATTAGTGCTGTGCTCGGGTTGTTCTCAGGGCAACATGTGAATGAATAAGCTGTAAACGTGACCATGAGATCTCATCATCGTGGGACACAAAGAATCTGCCAATAAGAAGATAGGAGTCACTGAGCAAGACTGTAGAGCAAACACGGTCTGCCACTGGACACTGCAATGGCTCTGAACATACACACTCCCGGCTTGGAGAACCAGTACACACAAACACACACTCACAGTGACCACTGGAGGCCCTTCCGCTTTGAAGACAATACTCCAACACATTACAACAGAACTTCGGAGACAGACATTTTTCATCAGGGTCAGTCCTACCTTCATCACATGAGATTCCAGTGAACAAACATGAGTAACGGCCCGTGTCCACATCGCGCCTTTTTCTAGCACTTTTTTATTGTTTCTATAACAACGATATGTCAAAAACAGCTGTTCTAAGACCGACTAGCATTATCATCTGTTAATGCTACTATATATATTTTCACTATAAGCACCAACCAGAAGGTTCCTTCTCTAATACTTTGAGTGAATGCTGTGACCGCTCAGGTTGACAGCCATATAGCAAGGGAAGAGGACGGTGAAGTCCAACATTCACCGGCAGCAACATCTGGTGGCCACCTGGCAGATCTGCTCCAACAAACAGGCTTTTGGGTTTTTTGGGATGATAGTTTCCGTCGTTCAGACACGGCTAAACACAAGCTTACAGTTACTTCACCAGAGCTTTTCTGAAAAGTTTTAAGAATGTTCAACTCGAAGCGCTCTGAGCGGCCGCACAAAAAAGCTGGAGTGCTCTGAAAACAGACGCTGGGTGCTTCGGCTGCCTGTTCTCATCGGAATCAATTTTAAACAGACGCTGGCGTTCAGAAAAAGGCGCTTTGTGGACACTGGCCTTAAGGAACACATTTATTCCAGACAGGCAGGGTGTCCGTGAAAGCACCATCAGCTGTGAAACAACAAGCTCAAATTATTTCAGACAGCCAAGGTTTATGTTACCCCTTCACCAGCACTGTCATACCACAACAATCAGCCCAACTCTCTCAAACTTCCGTGTCGTGTGTTTTTAAACTGATTTGACCTTTGCTTCAAAGATCTATTTAACCCTTGTGCCCTCCTCGAATTTTCAACCTTTCGACCCCTTCGTGGCAAAAATGTACACGCCCATAATAACT